GATCACCACTTGTAAGATATTACGCTCTATAATTTCACTGAGCATTGGCAAATTATGTAACAAATATATATCTAACAGTAACCTTAAAACAAATGAAACAACAACAAAAATGATTAAATTAAAAGAGTGGTTGAACTTCTCCTAAGGCCTACTGCAGCGAGTTGGTGAGGCAAAAAAAAAATTAAATTAAATAAGTAGAAAAGTGTAAGTGCAAGTCTTTTAATTTGTAATTAATTTACTTAGGTATCTAAGGGTCTGTTTACATGGAGGTGGGGGACCCCAGGTAGGTGAGGTAACCCACTTAGATGGGGTAACCCACCATATAATCTCTCACAAGGCCACCCCACCTATCATGTAAACATGATCAACTTGAAATGAGAGATTATAAGGACTACCCCACCTAAGCGGGTTACCTCACCTTACTGGCCATGGGGTCCCCCTCCACAAAGTAAACAGGCCCCCAGTCTCAAAACTGCCACCTGGGGCAAAATTAACCCTTTAAACCCAAAGAGAAACAGGTATGATTTCCTCTGCTCTTTTGGTGCTACCCAAGAAGTTTGTTCAGGAGAGAAGCATGGGCTCATTTCCCAAACAGCGGTTGGTAATCAAGTCTAACATATAAGAGTGACCAACATTCAATTTTTCCTGTACTGCTCCATCCAACAATAAGGTTGTGTCAGAGAAAAAAGGAAAATGGTCAACAAGTGAAAAAAGTTCTTAATGTTCAACAAATTCTTCTCATCGGTGCAACAGGAAATGAAAGGCGATCAGTGTGGAGAATATGTATGCTGATAAAAGGAACCTATGAGCTCAAAAGCTTGGTTATTTTTGAAAAATGTCAAGATTTAGTGGTTGCATACAAGAGGTTTCTCAAAAAGGAACTCGTAAGTGTTGTGGATAACTGGGTTCCAGATAGGTGACAATCTTGAGTCTCGATAGATTTGTCCGAGTGGTACCAAAGTGACTACCCTGAGGTAACAGAGATTTTTTTCACACAAGTGGAAGTATGTTTGGGTGTCATCCGCAGGCCAACAGATCTTCGGCAGAAAACTGACACTTTTCACACAGGTCACTATAAAGACCTACCTAAAACCTGAAACCATGCATGAAAAGTCTCTGGCAGCCATGGTACACAGCGACTATTTAAATGCTAGACTTTTGAAAATAAAATTTCTTTCATGTATATTATTTATTGATACAAATAAAACAAAAAGACAAAAGATATTATTTCCGCAGTAGTCAGGAAAAGAGCACAGCCAAGAGGAATCCGCCACTTTAGAAATGAGAAGGGGACTGGAAAACGGCAATTGCTTCTGTGATAGTTAC